GGACTGTTAGAATGGGGAAGGGGGGGGGTCTCAGGTCTGTGACACCCCCCCCTCCCCCCGGTTTGGGGGTGTTGGCCCCCCAGTATCCGCATTTCGGGGGAGTGGTGTTTTTAGGGGGGGCTATGTGTGAATGGGGCTGGGGGGTCGTATCCGGGGGTGTCTTTGGCTGCTCAAGGTGGGCTCAGCTCTTGCGACCCCCCCGGTTTGGGAGGGGGGGGGGGGATTGTTGGTGTGAAACTCCCCCCTATACCCGTTTTGGGGGTCTGCGTGTTCCCCTCTCTGATTTAAACTCCCTTTGAGAGGGGGGGGGATCCTGCAGACCAGAGGGGGTCTCAGGATGCTCAATGGGGGCGTCTCAGGCCTGGTGTCCCCCCCGGCTTTTTGGGGGGGGGGGGGGGGGTGTTGTTGGTGTGAAACTTCCCCGCCGCATTTTGGGGGTCCCCCCGTGTGTTCCAGCCCCCCAACCCGGTTTTGGGGGGAGGGGGGGCACCGGCAGTGCCAACGTGTTGCTGCGGGGTCAGCGAAGTTGAGGATGGAGCAGCAGAGGTAGAGAGGGAATTGCGCCTGGAAAACACCACAGCCTTTGGAAGAGAAGGGAAGGGAATAGGGCGGGCGGGGGGGGGGGGGGGGCCCCACCGCTGCTGGGTTTTTTTTTTTTGGGGGGGGGAAACAGTAGCCGGGAAAAATTTGCTTAGAGGGAGAGGGGAGTTGGAGAGGGGAGAGGGATGGAGGGGGACGGAAGGAGCGGAGGGGAAACAATGGGATCTATTGAGAGGCCGCGGCACAAAGCGCAGCGCCCGAGCCAGGGCGATTCCAGCCCGCATTGTTGTCCCAGCTGTCTTCCCGGGGGAGGAGGAGGGGACAGAGGAGGAAGGGCAGCACCAGGATTTGCTTCCCAGCGCCGGGGGAGAGGCTGCGGAGATGGAATTCCCTCCTGCCCGCTCCTCCGGACTGCCCGGCCCGTGGGGAGGGACTGAAAAGCGGCAGGAAAAGAGCCTGGAACGGTAAAAGATGCGGCTGTTCCCCCCGCCGTGCAGAGGGACGGGATGGAGAGACGGGGAAAACGCTGGTTTGTGGGAATCCGGAGAGTGTCTGGCGTGGAATTCCCCGGGAGATCGGCCCTGGAGCTGAGCAAGGTGCAGGAAGTGCTGCTGGTGGTGTGGGGGGGCTGTGTGTGTGTGGTGATACCGCACCTGGAATTGTTTTCTTCCTCTCCCCCAAACCCGTAGCAAGGTCTGTGTTTGGGCTGGGGGGGTTAAATTTTATTTTTAGTGTTACAATATTTCTGTAGCATCCAGCGCTAAAAGCTTTGGAACAACCCCGGGAACTCCGGAGAGGAGCCTGCACGTGAGCCCTGGATTGTCCGGGGTTTATTGTTTTGACTGTTCTGGGCTGTTCTTGGCTGCACAGACTTTTTTTTTTAATTTTTTTCCCCCACTCCTGCAGAGTGGCTGGTTACGGAGCAAAAGAGTAAAACCAGGTTGGTAACAGACTTATTTTTTTGGGGAGGGAGGGGGGGGTGAAGCATCGACCTGCTTTGCTTCCTTATCCTTCCTCTTCAGTGCTGGAGTTCCTTCCAGTTCTGGGAGATGGTTTCATCAGGGTTGTAGCAGGACACGATGAACCCAATTCATTGGGGAAAAGGAGTTGGGGAAGAGCTTTGTTTGCCTTGTTTTGGGTGGGGTGGTTTTGTGTTTTTGGGTTTATTTTTGGCTGGAATGTTGTGTTCTTCTTGTAGCAAAAAAACCCCACAAGTTGGGAGATGAGCAAAACGCTCAGAGAGTTACTGAGGCCTAAATTCTTTTTTTTTTTTTTTTTTTTTTGAGCTATATTTGTGCAGGAAGAGTCGGTGTGTTGTGGAAAGGCCTTGTTTGGGGCTGCAAGAAGCGCCTTTAAACATTATCCTGGTTTTTTGGCTGGTTTGGTCACCGTGTTTTGCCCAGGGAAGCTGTGGCTGCCCCTGGAAGTGTCCAAGGCCAGGTTGGACAGGGCTTAGAGCAACCTGGAATGGTGGGAGGTGTCCCTGCCCACGGCAGGGGGTGGCACTGGATCATCTTTTCAGGTCCCTTCCCACCCAGAGCATCCCACGATTCCAAATCCAAGGCATGGCTTTGGTTCTCTCTGCCCCACTCACCTGGAAAGGATGAGGTCTGCAGCTGTTTTCCTTTAAATCCACGGATTTCCAGTGAGGTTGTGCTGGGCTGAAGAGTTGCCAGAACTGTGAGTGGTGCCCATACCTGTAAATAGGTTTATTTTTGCAGAGGGGCAGGACGGGTGGAAGTTCCTGGAGACCAGTCTGTAAAGGTTCTACCTGGAAGGGAAAATTCGAATTTCACGGTAGTTCCCCTGGCTTGAGGAGGGGGAAACAGAGCCTTTGGAGTCTTATCTTGGGGTAAAAATAGCCTGATCCGGGGCTGGGACTAAAT